GTTTTGATTTTTAATTTAATTTTTATTTTTTAATCTCATTCAGGAGAAGAAAGAAGATATGGGGCAGAGGAAAGGAACAGAATATTATTCCTCCCTACCTGACACTGGGGAGTGGTCATCTACACTAAAGCAAAGGTTCCTTATCACAGGAAGAACATTTTCCTTGACCTGTGAGTGCTTTTATAGTCATTTCAAAAGGAAAACAGGCTGGGTGTGGTGGCTCACGCCTGTAATCCCAGCACTTTAGGAGACCAAGGCAGGAGAAATTGCCTGAGCTTAGGAGTTCCAGAGCAGCCTCAACATAGTGAGACCTTGCCTCTACAAAAGATTTAAAAAAACTAGCCGGGTGTGGTGGTGTGCATCTGTAGTCCCAGCTACTGGGGAGCCTGAGGTAGAAGGATCACCTGAGTCCAGGAGGTCAAAGCTACGGTAAGCTGTGATTGTGTCACTGCACGGTCAGACAGAGTAAGACTCTATCTAAAAAAAAATTCCATTTAAAATTTTTATTTCTTTATTGTGAATCAAAGTCTCACTCTGATGCCTAGGGTGGAGTGCAGTGGCTCGATCATGGCTCACTGCAGCCTTGACCTCCTTGGCTCAGGTGATCCTCTCATCTTAGCCTCCCAAGTAGCTAGGGGTACAGGCACATGCTCCACACATGGCTAATTTTAAAAATTATTTTGTAGAGAAGAGGTCTCACTATGTTACCCAGGCTGGTCTTGAACTTCTGTGCTTAAGCAATCCTCCTGCCTTGGCCTCCCAAAGTGCTGGGATTACAGGCATAAGCCACCATGCCCGGCTCTTTTTGCTTAATTTTAAAGAAATTATTCGCACAAGGCATGTTGGCTCATGCCTATAATTCCAGCACTTTGGGAGGTAGAAGCGAGACTGACTGAGCCCACTGGTTCAAGACCAGCCTGGGCAACATGGTGAGACCTCCTCTCTACAATACATCAAAAAATTAGCCAGGTGTGGTGGCATGTGCCTGTAGTTCCAGCAGCCTGGAAGGCTAAAGCAGAAGGATTGCCTAAGCCCAGCAGGTAGTGGCTGTGGTAGCCGTGAGTGTGCCACTGCACTTCAGCCTGGGCGACAGAGTGAGACTCCAACTAAGAAAAATAAAAGAAAAATTATAACATAAAGAAATTATTCTGGGCTGGGCATGGTGACTCAGCCTGTAATCTCAGCCACTTTGGGAGGCCGAAGTGAGAGGATTGCCTAAGCCTGAGGGTTCGAGACTGCCTGAACAACCTGGTGAGACCTCATCTTTACAATAAATCACACACACACATACACACACAAATTAGCCTGGTATGTTGAGGTGTGTCTGTAGTTCCAGTTACTTGGAAGGCTGAGGTGGAGGGATTGCCCAAGCCCAGCAGGTCAAGGCTACATTGGCTGTGAGCACGCCACTGCACTCTGCTGGGCAACAAGAGTGAGATTCCAACTCAAAAAAAGAAAAGAAAAGAAATTATTCTGCAATCTAAAGACTGATGTTTAAATTGACACAGGTGCTTAGATGATGGTATTTGTGAATTCTCTACCTTTTGTTCCAAACGTGAAGACTAAATGAATAGCAGTATGGATTAAAAACAAAAACAGAGCCGGGCTCTGTGGCTCAGCCTGTCATCCCGCGCCTTTGGGAGGCTGAGGTGAGTGGATTGCCTGAGCCCGCGGGGTCG